GTAGGATCCCTAATATGATTTAAGGAATATTCCTTAATTAAGGGATATTGGAGTCTCTGGGATAAGGCGCATCCAGCGAGCCTTCACCACAGTGGACGATCGACTCCGAAGCTTCCTCTGTCCTGCGCACAGCTGTGAAGAGCGCTCGTTTTAGGGCTCAGAGGGTTTTTGAGGCGTTAGTAGAGTTTTCGGGTGTTGTAGGGTCGTTGCCCAATAAAAGTTCAAGACTTTGGGTTTTCGTTTTTGGCCTGTTGAGCAGCTTCAGGGCCTTTAGGGTTTTAGTTAATGTAAGATCCCTTAAATGGGTCAAGGCTTACAGGGTTTTAGGTTTAGGATTTGAGGATGAATGAAGGGTTCAGGGCTCTACGGTATTGAGAATTTGGAAGAGATTTGGGGTGTAAGGGTGCAGGGACTCTGAGCCCCGAAGCCAAATCTGAAGCCTTGCTAGGATATGAGGGCTGTTTGGACGCAGCCATAAGTTTTGCGAGAACTTTGCCCGGCTGCTTCCAGGGCCTTGGGAGGAAGCCGGAGCAGGTTCTCAGGTGTTCAGCATAGACATGAGGAAGCCCATGTGAAACTGCCATGAGAAGTGGGGTCCGCGGTGCACTTGCACACGTACACGTATGGACATACCATGCACATGTATGATCCCGGTTCGGCCGGCCCCCCCCCCAAATGGTTCCTCCTCCCCCCCTGTGGTGTGGTGTGGTTGTGGGTTGCTTCCCCCTCCCTGCGGTGTGGTGTGGTGTGGTTCGGGAGTGGGTCTGCTTAGGCTGGTGACCCCACTCCTCCCTGTGGTGTGGTGTGGTTTGGGTTTCCTGCGTGGGTCTGCTTGGCATGTGAGCCCTCGTGTGGAAAAAGCTTGCACAGTCACACACAGATTCGGCTTGGGGAGCGGGGGGGGGGATACCATGGGGGGGGGGTCGGTGAACCGAGAACCGGGATCATATATACACATATATATATATATATACAGATGTATACACGCATGCAAGTGCACTCGCATGCTGTTTTATATGTATGGATGGAGGGATGGATTGATGGATGCATGGATGCATGGATAACATGCATGTATATATATATATATATGTATATGTTCGTATTTGTGTACCTATCTATCGATCTGTCTCTGGCCAACGTGCAGAGGCTTGCAGCGGTATTGCCCAACCGCTAAAGAATCTCAGTCCAGCTTCTGACAGGCTCCATTTCGAGGCACTACGGCCTGGTCTTGAAGCTTTGCTGCTTCCGACGATGTAGCGAAACCCCGAGACCGTAATCAACTTCGTGTAAGACTACAATGACCTACGGGACCTCAAGGGATTAAGCTCTCGCACAGAAGCCTAAAGCCAAGAGGTGAAGGCCACTCGCACAATCCCGGCTGCAATGCGGGGTGCACCGCGGTGGGCGCCATGGTGGCGCGCAACCGTCCGATTCTCGATTTTTTTGAGCGAGATTCTGCACGTTTGAGCATTCATGACTCACACGACTATAGTGCAACCCGAATCCCTCATCACGCATACATTCAACTATATAATATGTATGTATGTACATATATATATATATATATGTAGATATGTATACAGACTCTTCAATGACATGTACACATACATACATACACACATACATACATACATACACACATACAGGGTTGCGGCTTGGTGTCAGACCGGACTTGACGATCTGATTGAGGTGCCGATGACACTTTCCGAAGTACCCGTCCCCAAAGCCCTGCTTTCGACGGAGTTTACGTTTCTGCTTTCGAATGACATGTGGCAGGTGAGCTTTGTCTGGAGAGCTGCAGGACACAGTGGTGCATGTAAGCTTTGGGTTTATCAATTGAGGCACGCGTTTCCAAGCCACCAAAAGCCTGTGCAGACCCAAGCCACGTCCGTTTCCCTTTTCTGAACCTAGTAGTAGAGTAGGTAAGGTAACCTTTAACCCTTTTTGGGTAGTATAGTCCCTATATAATCATAATCCCTATATAACCAAAAAGGTTAACTGTTCGTTCCCCATGATACCCGACAAGTAGGTGAACAAAGTGAGCAATCTGCCTTGAATGAGCTAGAGGCGATGGCACCTATGCGGCCAAGCTTGTGAACTGCAGGGCGTCCCAGATTCCGCAACGTGCAAACGGAAGAGCCCTAAGCGCTGCTGACCACGGACAGGAATCTGCCGATTTCGCCCCTCGTACTCATGCTGTGGTATACGGGCCAGCTATTGATCCACAGTTGCAGACCGGAGTCCGTGATCAGCTCAAGCACGCATCTCGGAAGAAGCAGCATGAAGTCGAGACACTATGTAGCCCCGCTAGAGCCACTTGAGCGACTGCTGCACTGAACACTGGGCCCTCCGAATCATATGGTGTTCTCCGATCCTTTGAGCAGGGTCTTGATTTGAGGCTGCTCCCAGCACGATGCAGCATAAGGGTCCGCTGTGCGAACATGTCGCTGCATGTCATGAAGCTACTTCTGCATCCGGCTCTGAAACTGTTTTCGAAACATGGGCAATAAACTCGCAGCATTTGGACAGAGGAAACTGATTCATATCAGCTCAGCATTACAACGGCTTCTGAAGATTCCGTGAGCATTCTGGAATGCAACAGCATGAGGTGCTTCACACGTCAAAGTTAAACTCGGCATGAGGTGGGGATTCGCGGTGCGTGGTGATCCACGCACCGGAGGAGGATGAGATGAGCGCCGAAACCCCAGCTTCGAAGACTTTGACTTCCTTCGAAAGGTGGCGCCTAGCCGGAAAGAGAAGCCCCTTAGGTACCGGATATAGGCATGTTTCTTCAACATGATTCAGGGTCGGTGGGGACAGTTTCTGGACTGCGAGTGGCAAGGAAGATTCCCCCAAAGCTTCGCAGACCTGTGAGCGTCGAGGCAGCCACCATCCAAGTCAAATTGCCAAAATCACTGGAAACGTTTCGCCGGTGCCTCAGATGCATCGGCATCCCGTTCAGAATCGTCTCGAAAACCTTCGAACTTCCGCAGGAACACCTTTGGTTGCCAACTTGCTGGAATCCTCATAACATGTCGTTTGCCTCTAGGACTCTAGGACCTAGGACTTGTGACAAGTAATCAGCACCTTCAGATTGAGACATGCAGCCTCCATTGAGAGGCTCCCTTGCAGCAAGGGTTTAGGATCTCGTCAAGACCCGTAGCGCCTTTGCGACCCTGAATCAAAAACACAGCCTTTACATTATGAGCCCCAGCCGTTTCGGTGACGTCCTCCGGGCACTTCCCGGAGAAGGGTACATCGGAGTATAGAGCAGTTACTGAAGCCTGAACTCAGGGACCTGACCGTATTCCCTATGTACCGTACATGCCCTAGACATAATCAAGGGGCCATAATAATTACCAATACTATTTCGGGTGGTCCTAATCACTACCATAGTATAATATACCCCCAAACCCTATTCTAATCAGCAAAGCTTGTTAAGGCCCCTATAGTAAGCTTTTCCAGTCCCATGGACCATGGGCAGCCCTCAGAAGCTTTACGAGCCCGCTGGACAGGTCTGGCGGCAGAAACTAATTGGTCCAAGGCGCTATGACCTGGGAGTTCCAAAGAATCAGAGACCTACATGTTGGGATCCGTGTACGAGAGAAACCATAATCATAAGGCCATGAGGAGAAGTACCCACCTCTACGAACAAGACTGTGGGTTGAACAGGTTGGAGCTTTCTAATGTTGACATGCACTGGCGGGACACCATCGAGACACCAAAAACACAGACATTGCAAAGACAGGGATTACCAATAAAGATGCCAGAATAGCTATCGTTCTGGTCGCGTCTCATGCCAGTACGTCCCTGAACGGCTTTGTAACTGCCCCAGTTTCAGAGGTCGAAGCAGAATAGGATGAAGCTTGCTGCGTTAGACTTATGGCAAATATTGACCGTCGAAGAGCCGAACAGTGGGAATAAGTGAGCAGCGACTGTCCGGTCCAGACTAGTTGGAAGGACGAATGATTCGCAAAGGTTGTTGTGCCTTGATTTTGTGCCCTGGTGTGAGTGCTGCCTTGCTTTTGAAGCTTGGAGTTTTATTGTATCTGTTCGGCCCTCCACTTGCATGGCAGTCTTTCGCTTTCGTGTGCAGCTCGGTCACGGCACGAACCGTCACTGTGTGAGGCCGGTGCGAACAACAAAATCGGACGCAGCCTCTCCAAGAAGAGCCAAACTCCGTCCATCCAGGATTCATCCTGGCTACCGGAGTGGCCAGCAGTGGTGCATGGCTCAGCTTAGATCAGGCGCCAGAGATTAAAGCCGCGGCGTAGTGAAAATGTTGTTGCGTGGAAACTGCAGTAGCAATTTGGCTCAAAGAACTTCCTGGTTTGAAGTTTCCCCTTCTGACTTGAACGGGTCATCGAAAGGATCCCCTGTTTTTTGTTGCCCATGCTTGCGGTTCGACATCGCGCCATGGGCACGAAGTACATGCAGCTAGCCCAGCAAGTACTAAATCAGAGCCATTCTGTTTCAGGGTCCCGAGCTGGGCTGCAAATGCAGATAGACGTTTTTGGGTTTAGGGCTCACCGTCTCAAGCTTGTGTCGTGACGCTTTTACTTTTGCTTTTACTATTTCCTAAAAATCCTGAACAAGGTGGGGCATGATGTTGGTGATTTTCGGGACCCTGCAGACGGCGCAGGCCATAGGCCAACGGCGGCACCTTAATGCACAGTGGGGTTTGAGTTTCCGGGTTTGTGGCTTAGGTGCAGTCGTTGCAGCTTTGGGCTAGCTCGATGTTGTGAGTCGCAGCTCGTCGAGTCCTCCATCCCTTTGGCAGGCAGGAACCTTGACACTCCTCGACGAAACCTTCGATGGCAGCACTCAGTTCCAGATCTCCGCCGGATTCTTCTCGGATGGAAACAGTGACTTCTTCGGCATCCTCAATGCCGACGGCACCACAGGTCTCTTCAGCGGGGGACCCGGGGATGTGTCAAGCAATTTGCCGGAGACCGAAACTGGTAGGGTGAGCAGCAAGTTTCAGGTCTCTGGCTTTGACAATGCTTACCTGGTCGCTCAAGATCTGGATGGCGAAGGGGGCCATAGGGGGCCCTAAAGAGGTGACGGTGACTTGGGAGAACCTGGATGTGTCGGTCTGTGCCCCCGACTATCTTCGTTTTGCAGGAAAGTTTGCCACGGACGATTCCAGCGACGGAAGTTTCGACTTCGATGCTGCCGACTTCGTCAGGATCTTGGCATCTCTGGACGGCGGTTCCGACACAGTCGTGTTGGAATGGTCAATCAGTGGATCGGGCTCTTCTTTCAGCCGGCAGCCCAGGCTGACAGACGACACCAACACGCTTCTCACGTCAACTGCCCTGGAGGTTCAGAGAAGCATTTCCGGCAGCTGGGATGCCCTTCAGCGTGTTTTTGAAGATTTCGGTGGGTCCCCAGAGTGATCTCGCCACACGCACCGGACAGAGGTGTCAGCCCTCGAAGATCAGCCAAGGAAGTGGGACGAGCGTGACTTTGAAGTTAGTGATCAGCCTGGATTCCGGTGACGAAGACATTGCCGTCTCGAACCTGGTCCTCACTTGTGATGCCGCCCCGACCTCTCCGACCACAACCTCTCCGACCACAGCCTCTCCGACCACAACAGCCTCTCCGACCAAAACCACTCCGACCACACCGTCTCCGACGAAGACCTCTACGACTACAGCCTCTTTGACTAAAGCCACTCCGACCACAGCCTCTCCGACCACAACTCCTCCCCTCACGGAGCCTCTACTGGAAATTAGATTCTGCGAGAGTTATTTTCGGTGGCTTGAGTCAGGAAGCTGGCATGAAGTTGGGATCTATGAAGTTTGGGGAGGAACCCTGCCTAGCTACCATTACACTTTGCGCCTCACCTTCGCTACAACTTGCCTGCATACCTCCACCCCCAGTAGGTCAGCAGGGCCCCAAAATTAAGGCATGCACCGAAGCTTGAGTGTAGAGCTAGCAAAGCGTGACACTCTCCACCCTGTGACCATGGCAGCAGATGGCCACTCTTATATTCTCGATGTGACACTCGATTGCGGGTCATCCTTGCGCAGCGGCTATGCGGCTGCACATGTCGCAGAATGCGCAATTCACCGACTCAAGGTCGTGCGCAGGGTCGCTGGCATGATGGCTTGGCCAGCTGCTCCCGCAGCGACGTGAGGCAGATAGCAGCCTGCCGCTCCCAGTTAGTTGCCCAAAAAGCTGAGCAGAATTGTGGGCTTCTTGGGTCTTGTTGCATGGGAAGGGAAAACGAGGGCCCTGAAGCTTGAGAAAATGCAACAGCTGGCGTCCGCAAAGCCGAGGAGCCGCCGCCATGCACACCAAAGAAGCGATGCCAATTTTGGTGCCACTACCTGGTATTCCGAGGGCGGTCGGGGAAGGCAAAGCTCTGGTCCATGATACCAGATTGCCGCGGCCCCAGGACACGTGCAAGTCATCTTCTGCAGAGCCGTTGGACAGGGGTTTGACGGAGCAGTGCTTTTTCCACAGCTGATCAGGCCAATTATGCCGGCTCTCTTCCAACAAGTACCAACGACGCGCATACGGTGCACGCCAGCGCGGACGTGCACGCAGAGCTCATGAGCGGGTGCTGCTGCAGGCGGGTGAAGGGCGATCGCCGAGCAACGCTTGGCACGAAGTTGACACCGACCCAGTTCATTTTTTGCAGGTCACGCGGGGCCACCAGGAACTCTAAGCACGTCCAGCCTTTAGGATCCCGCGGTAACCTGTGACTGACCACAGGTTTTGCTCTTTCGGAGGCTCTGGGTCAAAGAAATCCAGAGTTTAGTTCAGTGACGACCCCGATCTCACCATATACAAGGTCTTTCAGAAGTCCTTGATGCCGAGCACAAGTTCGGTGAGCCCGGTCCCAGTTTACTTACAGCAAACAGACATGTGGGATGTGTAGTAGAAGCCGTGTTTCGCTTAGGCACTGGCTTTGCAGAATGGCAGCAGCTACGCGGTTCAAGAGGTTGTGCCTGCTACAGATATTTAGCTGATCAGCTGTGAGTGAACTGTTCTCAACCAAGCGGCAGCGAGGGCAAAGTTTCCACATGCTGCAGCATCTTGAGATGCAACATGGTTCGCAAGGCCAAGACTTATAGGATCTTATGTAAGCCAGCTTCACAGGCCAGGAATGCGCAATCCGGTTTTAGAACTGCGCAAGCCTTCACAAAACCTGAAGCTTGCTGATACGGGCAAAAGGCTGACACCCAGAGGTAGCTGTGGCGCTGCCCTTCCAGACACGTCACAAAGCTACGTCATTATGATACCTGTTGCTGCACTGTTGTCTTTGTTGCTCTTGGTTCGATCAGTCTTAGTGTCCCTGGTATTATACTGTTTTTCCTTACTGTCGCCATGAAAAATGACGATGCTTGTCGTGTCCATGACTATTGCGTCTTTCATGGTTTCCACTTTGTTGGTTTGGCTTCTATGCAGCGGCAAGTTTGAGCTGAATGAAGATGACTAGGCCTTGCTCTTCCCTTGAAACACTGCACCTTCCAACTTGAAACAAAAACAGGCCCGAGGTAGCTTGTTCGGCAGTTTGGGGCAAGCATAGCAGCCATAATGACAGTAGTGCCCTCAGTTTACATCCTGCACCTTAATCATTCCTAGATGCCGTAGACCTTAACATGAAGCCTTTGAACTTCAAGCCCAAGACCTCACCCTTAACCGCCCGTAAACCAAACCATAAGGACAGGGCTTAGCAACAACATGCAACAACACCATGAATACCCAAGTGAGTACACCATGACGTGGTTTTCTGAAATAAATAGTTATAATGCAATGAGTCTTTGTTGCGACGCCAAGCAACGGGACACCGCTGGTGGGTTGCAAAGCTCGTGTAACCAAGCAGGATACTGCTATCGTTCAGGTGGAAACGATTGATCACAAACCCAGCCTCTGGGTGGAGCGAGTGCGGGGCCCAGTAGAGGTCCTGAAATGCACTCGACACAAAGATCCGCCTGAAGCGTCCACACTGAGGTGCAGTAGCTGTAGAAGCCATAAAGATCTTCAACTCAGAACGCTTGTGGTCACCTGGAGTTGGTACCAGCCGGTCGGGCTCGCCACTCCGTCCATCTCGAAGTGGCACAATGCCAGAGCGATGCCGGTTTACCGAGCTCCTCAGTTGCGGTGCTAGCCAGCTGGTGAGCTTGATTGCTACAGTCGAGCCGAGGGATACCGATGCTAATTATAGCAATCGGTCCTCGTGCTTGTCAGTGCGCAATGGGTAATGTATAGACTTCTGAGTTTGGTCGTTATGTACTGTAGCTATTCCCTACTAGCTGAATCTGCTGCATGTTTGCTTCCCGGTCCCCGTAATCCATATCATTTCCCAAAAATGTGTACGACTGTTCACATGCTTGTCGGTTCATCCGTGGGCATCCCTACGGATGCAAGCAGATGTAAACAATCTACACACGCCGTCGGAAGAATTTGTGCGCCTGAACACTGTCCAGAATGCAGCTGCTACAACAAAGGGCAGCGACATGCTTAAAGAGCCTGTGATCATCGGATTTCCGCGGGCCAGCATCATTCTGTCCATGGGTACCTCGTCATGCAAGGCGCGAATTGTTGCTGCCGGAGGCAAAGTATGCGGGGGGCGCAGAGGCCTTGGTGTAGCTGCACCGCTGCCAAGCTGTGCCGACATCGCGTTCTTTGACAAAATAGATTCCCTGTCCCTCGAATAACTTGGGTGTAGACCTGGCCGCAGTGACTTTTCAGACGGCAGTTATGGCCGGAACCGAGCAGAAGGCAGCTGGTCCGTGTACCGTACCCGTGAAGTTCTTCTGGAGTTCATCTGAGGCCGAGCACGGCTGGACGGAAACCTCGCCGTCAGCGCGGCTCACAGATACTTCATGCAGTAGTTCAGCTCTGTGTGCACACGGTCCGCTCGAAGGGTCCACAACATTTCCTGGCACTTTCATAAGAAGAGCCATCCAAGGTAATGAATCCGCTTTTTACACTTGTGGGAACAGTTATTCTTCAAGAACTGGGATTGATTACCGACATTATTATGATCGGTGTTGGTACTGACAGCTCACATCGTATTTCACGGTAGCATATTTGGAGCACGATCCAAACGGTACTCTTCATCCATACAACGCTGGCAACACATTTCGTGGTCCGCGAACTTTTGTATGCCCCCCCCCCCCCCCCAAAAAAAAAAAAAAAAAACCTAAACGCTAAAACCTAAACCCTAATCCCCCCCCCCCCCCCCAAGCAATTGCTAATCCGGCGACCCAAACCCTGAGCCCCGATTGAAGCGATCCAGGCCGAAGTCTCGGGGATTTCGATTTCAAGGACAACGCCGGCCGCCGTGTCCCCGGAAACTTCTGAGCCGTGGGCAAACGGGCTGAAGCTCCTGTCGAATGTGTCTATGTATGGATGAATGGGTGTGTGTATATGCATATTTGTATCAGTATACATACATACTTCCATACCTTATGTACATATACATATACGTGTACACATACACTTACACAGACGCTTACGCTTACTATTTCGTCGCAAGGTCCTGCGGCCGAACAGAAGGTGTCATGCTTGCGCGGGGCCAAGAGTACGCGTCGCATCGGATCCGAGGGAGAATAGGGCTCTGAACGACAGATGTCCAGAACATTGAGGAAAGAGCTGGTCAGGATTTGAGGCACCATTCGCAAGCCGAGGCCTGACATCTACGAGGTTTCTGGGCTGCCGGAAAGGACGCTGCTGCTGTTGGTCGCGGACATAATGATGCAAGTGTGACTTGATAAGATCCCGAAAGACGCCGCGGTTGCTTGCATTGTAGTCCGTTGGTGTACACAGTTGGAATCGTTTCAGAACTCAGATGTTTCCCCGATCTAAAAAGAGATTTGAGAGCGGCCGAGGCCTGCGATGGCCTTTGGGATGCGATCTCCAGCGAGGAAGCAGCACAATTCGTTCGCGCCCGGGTGCCCAGAAGATTCGTCTTTGTCGAGCATTCCAGCATATCACTGGAGCTAGCGCAGAGTGACTCTCCAAGTTGGCTTTCCTTGCCTGGACCTGCTGCAGGAGCGGCTTCGTTACGATCCGCCCATGGAGCTCGACGAGATCGCATCTTGCCTTGTGTCCCTTCTACTCTAGTGTGCACTCAAGCTAACATCCTGAATCCACACAAGTCAGTCGACATCCCTGCAAGTTTATGAGTGCAACTACTGTTCATAAGAGCTCGTCCGCGAAAACTCAGGCACAGGAGCTCGTCAGCTACAGTTTGGAGGTAAAGCCCGGGCTCCCAGCTGCGGGAGTTTCGGTGTGATGGCCCAGTCCAGTGATTATGATGCAGCTGGGGAGCTTCTTGCAGCCCTACCAGTAGTGATTGTTCTCTAGAGGGTTTCTGGAGAGCCTGAAGCTATCTAGGGGAACTGTCTTTCACCCTGGCTGTTACCGTTGCCTGCAGCCAGACAGGACTGGTGACAACGTGACAGTGCGCCCGGAGACCCTTCTTCAAGAGCTGCCTGAGGGCAACAACTGCAGTCAGTGTAGGGGGTAAGTTCAGCACAGCTTGAAGCTGCACTGGCCCTTGCTCAGCAGTTTGCTTGATGATTCGGTGGGCATGTCATTGACTTCCGTCGTCGTGTGCAGTGTATGGATGAAGCTTGAGCTTGCTTGCAGTGCTCTCGTCAGGGCACAGTTTGTGTAGGTGAGGGGAGACTTGGGCTTTCGTCCTCCACATAAGACCCGGTTCGCAGGTTCATGAACTTGGGTGAGACTGGGGGACCACTGATGTTGGATTCTACCGTTTCCTCTCCTTGCTGGGTCTTCACGGTCTCCAGCGTCGAGGTTGGAGAGGTGTTGGTTATCTTACTTCCCGCTTGTAAATCACGGACCATGGAAGCTCCGAGCTGATTCAGGTACTGCTGGTGCAGCTTGGCAGTCCGATCGCCGAGGATTCTTGGTCCGAGAATTCGGCGGCATAGGCCACGACCCTTGATTCATAACCCTCAAGACTCCAGACCTTTTCCCGGGATCGGGACAGGGGTTCATTTCACGGTGTGCGGTATCTCTGCAGTGTTTGCACATGAGGATCATGCGCTTTCTTAACCTTCTAGACACTCCCTTTGGAGCTAATCCAAACAAGCAGTCCTAACATGTAGTATGATTGGGACTTCTTGCCTGCTTGGCCAACTACAATCAACAGCTGC